AACAATTAAAGCACAACACAGCTAGCCAGCAGAATTGGTTGTCTGAAGTCAGTCGCTAATGTCAAACTACGAAATTTAACAATTTCTACAATTATTTAAATAAAAAAATAATCACTAATTACTAAAACTCCATGATATAATACAAAAATAACATTATGATTTACTTCTACAGCGTTCATTCGTCGAGACCAAATATTGGTTGACAAAGCATAAGCACTGGAACAATTGTATTTTTTCCTTCTGAAAGCTTTTAAAAGACCATGAATTTGTAATAACAGCTTTTGTTTTGTTTCCGTTAATTTAATAGAATATTTTTCAATAGTTGTATTATAAGGACTTGAAGTAGAACCAATCCTATCAGTAGTGGTGGTGTAGCTAGTAGTACTAACAGCATCAATGGTTCTTGTTGTTGTTGTTGTTGTTGTTGTGATAGTGCTGTTGTTAGCTATGGTTGTGTTAGACATGGTTATCATTGTCTCATCTGAAGAAGTTGCTACAACTGTAGATGTGGAATTTTCTAGACTGCATGTAGTTAGTGAATCATCTGCAGTTATCGATTGTTTTGTTTGATTATGACAAGACTCCAAGTTATTTTGTTTTTTTCCAGAATGTTTCTCAAATATTCTCTTTCTTAAATTTTTCGTACAACGTTCACTTTTTCGTTTAAGTGAATTAGAATAATTCATGATTTTCAATTCTTTTCGTTGTTGATAAACAGTTTGAGTAAATGATTTATTTTTCAAATGCGATACCATTCGACGAGCAATAAAAGGAGCTGCCTTAAAAATTTTGAAATCAAATAAAATATATATGTAGTCAAAATACTGAATGACATTTTCTAGACTGAAATTTTAATTTTTGTAGTAGAATAAGAGTTTGACCAGATAATACAAAACAAGGAATTGGATGAATACAGTCTTAGTTGCATAATCGATCTCTAACCCACTATACCTCATCTATTTCGGTTCGGATAATCTTCGTGGAATAGACTGGATGTTCCTTGATTAGCGGGTTTAACCAAAAGTTTGGAGAGAAGGGTCAAATATGTTTGGATTAAGGTTTGATGAGAAGACAATATTGCTTACCTTTATGAAGTTATTTTTCAAGTGTGATGTATATAAATTAGATCTGTAATAGCTGCCGTAATCTACGAAATAAACCAGTGACTATTAAATATAATTATGAACAAATCTCAACGAGTATCAGTATTCTTCTACTGTATATTTTGATGTTGCTGATATATAGTAAAAAACCTAAACTACATGACTAATAACAGTTAAAACAAACAGACTGGGTTCAAGCCACGGAGTGAACACCAACTCTACAATGGAGGTACATCCAGCTGACGATCCTTGAATAGGACGGAACGTGCATTCTAGATTTCACTGCTAGCCACCAACCAAAGAATAGGTAAACATGCGCCATTGTAAACGATTTTCTGCCACGTCATTCAAGGTCTCTAATTGTCGGTTACTACTATCTCGCGGACCCCAAACAGGTAGTCCACACCTACTAATATGGCTTAGTCCAGTTGTTAGTGAACTGATGGATTCGAGCCATGTTTTGATTTGGCTGCCCGTAGCCTTTTTCCAGCCTAGTTCTTCATCACAACCTTTTACAGTGCTTGTGTGATTTAATGGCACGATCAAATCAATCGACACAGGATATTAAAATCTTTCTTGACAATTAAACCAAACCTTAAATAATTTGGTTGAATTAGGTTTTCAGTGTCGTTGCAACTAACAGCATTCATTACAACAAAACAGTAAATTTTCAAAGAATTCTGAAAATAAAATAGCAATTATTATACGCTTACAGTCCTTAACATTGATATTTTATTTATTTGTTGCAACGATGATTTCACCTTTGGATCACACATTACTTGATCAAGTGTCATCCAAAATAAATGTTCTTTACGTAATAATAATGAAGCTCGATTCTCTTTACAACGATTAGTTATAGATATTGAATTACGATGTTGCATAAATACAGATGATGATCCATGCATTGTATTTGGGACACGATTTCCAGACATTATAGTAAGGTATCTGCGTACAGGACCCACTAGAACATGTTTTATCTATAGGCAAACAAAATGCATTATTATTCAAGTGATTATGAACTTTACAGTTATTAAATTAGACAGACAACAGATATTTTCAATTAGAGTTATGGAGATTAGTGTTTTTACACATTTGAAATCACCGATCAATCATTGTCAGACCACCATTAGAAACCTGGAAGCACTGGACGGCCGTTTCCTCATGGTATGGGACTCATCAGCAGTGCGTATCCACGACTCCTGCTTCTCGCACGATTCGAACCCGGGACCTTCGGTATTGTGCTCGAACGCCTAACCTCTGGACCACTGGGCCGGTATCCAACGGTGTTAATGTCTAACCCTGATTGATCTAGGGATTTTGTCTTTGGTAGTCACTAGCGACACCCGACAGGGTTGAGCTCCACTGGCCACGTCTTCTCACTAGAACTCCCAGAATTTTCTCACGAAACTAGTCACTAGTACAACAGAGTCGGAATCGATGAAAGTTGTTCCTTACAAGTGAAAAGCAATAAGACTGAGAATAAAATATAATTCTTTAAAGGAAATAATGACAGCCTTTGTATGCGAGTAATTTAATCCTCCATACGATGAACCTTACAGATATTATTAGAACATACATAGACAGATACAAGTTCTATCAAGTACGATACGTACATCATAGAAAATATTGTTTTCTGATTAAAAACACATAAACGCTATTACGGTCTGATGTTGAGAATAAGTCGTTGTCTTCTGTGGATAGGCCACCTGTTGTGTTTGTCTAATGTTTTTAAATAGTATAATTTGGATAACTAATAAAGTAACCAAGAAATAATAAATGATAACCTCTAATAGATACTCTGATAATCAGGTTCAATAGATATGAATTAGGCATATTAGCGATTGTTATTAGATCTTATCAGGCTCAAATGTAATACCACAGTGATACTTTTTGAAGGACTTTTAACTTCAACTGCCTACAGTTTAAGTTAGGTATTGTTAAGCAATTGAGATTCTACTTCTGATTTAGTGCAAAGAAAATGCATAATAACATTCTAAACTAATTCGTTGTTGCTACTGTGCACATAAGAATTATTTGTTAGAGATTTTCAATATTATGTAACAAGATTTCTTATAGATAATAGCTTATGTGATTCGGAAACTCTACAAATAAGTTGTTATAAGGTTGTTTTATACGGAGTACAATATTTTACAAGTAATGGGTCACCATGCTGTGATAAAACCTAGAAACTAGTCAGTGCATTCACAAAACGGAACAATCATACAAAATTCGTATGCAAGCTGCTGGGGACGTTAGATACCAGAAGTCACTTGGAAAAGGTCCTAACTTGGGACGTTTTATGTTTTCGCACATAAGTCGTTTAGTTAACCTTGAAATTACATTTCCCACTCGGAAAATCCTTGACTTTTACTGGTTGATGGATTATTTTAGTACGCTATTTTTGTGGCTCTCCGATGGAGGTTTCTTTCGTGTATAAATAAGCCCGATTGTTTGTGCTTGTTGACCTCGTATTTTCTGAGTGCTTGTAGAATACACTTTCCCGCCATAAAAACTTCTTGATATAGTTAGTAGGGCTGGGGAAAAATCAAATAAGAATAGCCGATCGTGTCACCGCATCATTTGTCTTCGCTCTGTTCACCGAGTAAGGTGAACTCGTAATAATTCATGCATATTAAGTGAAGAGCATATCATAAGCATAACTCACAGACCGTAATTAAAAGCCCACATGTAACTTTTACCCTGATGCGGTGGTTGGGCTTGACTACTGTGATGACCCAACCGGGCTATATTGGCTAAAATACATGTTTCTCTAGGTCACACCATGCCAGACAGGTCGATTGGAGAACAGTGAGACTAAATGAAACAACTTAAAGTCTGAGGGTGAAGTCGTGGTGCTGACTGTAATGGGGTGTGACAGAAGTAAGGCGTTCCCCTCGGACAATCAGAATTTACAGCAATTCAGCCCTCTCGGCCCTAAAATTGTCAGACCTCACCTAACCTCACGGATTTCCGTCTCTGGTGGTAAGGCCTTTTGAAAAGGAGCGTAGCTAGCACTTCAAAAACATCCCATAAAAAAGCCATGCGAGGCAAGCTTCAAAAAAGTTGTTTCTTGGGCTCGCTCTCAAGTCACTAAAACCAATGATAACCCAACTACTACTTCAGGTTCGTCAAGATTTACCCTTCCACGATGTGAGCGACCGGGAATTAACATCTGCCCTTATACTCGTAACATCAAACGAGACCGAATCTGTCACAACCAAATCCTTGCTACACCAAATAATCCTCTTATCTCCAAGAAAATCTCTTCTTCGGTTTCTTTGTCAACTCACGCCGCTGGTGCGAACGTTTCGAATTCACGAAATGTTACTCCTTATCTTCAGAAATCCCGCTCTAAACTACGTGTTGGAACTTTTGATGCTCGAACCTTGTGTCAAATAGGGCAACAGGCTTCCTTCCGGAAAGATAGAGACACTTTCCATAGCCTCCTCGTTGTCTCTGACTTTGCCATGACTGATCGCAGTTCATATGAGGCAAAAGATGAATTTTACAGACACCTTTCCAACCTTCTTCAAAAAGCTAAGCGCTCTGATGTATTAATAGCGGCTGATGGTTTTATCGCTCAAGTAAGTAGATTAGGTTGAATCGCAAGTTATATGGGTGGATCTTATGGTTTCGCAGCTCACGGAACAGATAATGCAGACCGTCTGTTGAAGCTATGCTCAGGTAACCGCCTCTTCTGGAAAACACCAACTTTAAACATAAGCAGAAACATTTTTCGACATAGCAACGACCAAAATCAGCTTAACGCTGAACAATAGAACACATTGCTGTCAGCCACCAATGGAGGGGCCTAAAATAAGACTACCGAACATTCTGAAGCACATGTTTAAACTTAGATCATGATCTAATATGAGCAGGTATTTGTCTACTGCTTACTAGACATAAGAAAGACACAGCAAGGAAAACCCTAGGAGTTCTACTTCGTAGAAAAGAACCAAGAATACATTTCATGAGCAACTAAAAGTAGCTATATAGCCATTTAATTTATGCCCATCACGAAACGGACTGGAATAATATCCAGGAAGCTGTGATATCTTCCAGTAAGTTAGAATTAAAAGTGAGAAAAAAATCAGTGGATTCCAGTAGCATAAAATGAACTGATAGATGTTCGGAAACTCATCTCATCTGGGTCTGAACACAATGAGGAGCGAAGGCAAAATAAACATAGACTGATTAAAAGCCTACGCAATGACCGTGAACAGTGGTAGGTAGCGAAAGCAAAGATAGAAAAGGAAGCGGCGACAAATAATAGTACACAACTATTCATATTTATCAAGGAAACTGGTATTACGAATCAGAAGGTTAGTGAAACTCTCAGAGAAAAATTGGAAATATTGATAGAAATAAGATTATTATTATCAGTAATTATTATTGAAGACAATGTTAGCCAACTTACCTGAGTTTGATGTATAATCCACTTGGATTCTGAAGATGTAAGTTGTCTGAACAATGCATTTGGTTCCGAAATTTCAAGGGTTGCATTCTTTTGAGTTTCATTAACTTCATTGTTCTGTTCTTGTTCACCTGGATTATTTGATTGAGTTGAATGAGAAATAATATTTGTCTGATTCGAGTCATTATGCGGTGAAGTATGCTGCTGAAATAAAACGCCAGAAACTAAATCATCCAAAAGTTGTATAAAATCGCTATCGATTGGATTAGGATTCCAACCTTTATTGGACCAACTGTAGTTAGACGATTTAACGCGATCTTTAGATATTTTGCACGTGGTCAGCTAGGATTGATCATTTAAATGAAATAATAAACAGAAATTAGATAATAAATCATTTAATTAGTGTTTTTTTTTATTTTGGAGACATATGAAAAAAACTATCATATCCTTATACGTTTTACTGAAAGTAATTAACATATTAAACAATCAAGTTAGATCCAACTTAGAGGAATGACTGAATACAATCACTTCATATAATTGGACAGTGAAATTTTAATTCCAATTGACAAGAAAGATAATAAGAAGTTTAGTAAAATGGATGCATTCAGTAATATAAAATGTTATTTATAAAAACAGAGTTTAAATGTAATAAGTGCAAAACAATTATACGAAAGAAAGTTTTCTAAACGGTTTTTCAAGCGATCAATCAGTGCATTTTATACCTAATACGAATAATCTCAATAAAACAAACAGAAACACTGTCCTTGTATATAGAAATGGTTAATTACGTGACTGATCTCAGTCAGTCAGTCAGCTACAACGTAGAATTTCGTGTGTACATACATCAGTCCAAGTTGTCATACCACGGTAGTATAGAGAAGTAATTGTCGCTTCAAATCCCATAGTGGTAGAGGCAGTAGAAGTTGAGGTCAAATGAATGACTGTACTTAGACGTTTTTGAGACGTAGTGTACATTCGTTTCACAAGGTTCTAAAGTCCTAGCCAAGGAAGCTTGTTGTTCTACCTCACACAAAGTTTAAGCCATAAAAGCTCCGATATGTAGTGTAGAACTGGATTTTAGGGGACCACGAATAAAATTTCATGAACTTGAATCACTAGCAGTAGCAATGCGAGGTAATAAGTATACACTAGAAAGGTTAGTCGTGGGGATAGGAGTTATGGAGAGGTGGGGCAGTGGTTCGATCATGATCAACTTGGTCTCGAGTTCTGTTAGAGATATGAAGGCGGTTGTTACTTCCAGGCTGCTCATATTGTGAATGGCTATTTCTTCTTGGGGGAGTGTGACCACAGAGCATACAGGAAAACTGCTTCAGGCCAGTCATTCACGGCCTTTTAATAGGAAGTTTTATCGTGTTCGCTCGGATCTTCAAAAGGACTGACCCCACAGCGAAAAAAATCCATGGAGTACAGTAAGGTGAAATTTTAGGGTCGACCTTTTCCAACTCGTTTCTCCTGTTATGAGATGGTAGTAAGGCTGCAGATGCTGGTTGTCTGAGGGAAACACCTTACTGCTATCACACCTCTGTACAGTCAGCATTAAGGCTTCACCATCAGACCTTAAGTTATTTCGTTTAGTCTTACTTACCGTTCTCCAGTCAAACTGCCTTGCATGGTAGGACCTATGGAAGCATGTATTGTAGCCAACATAGCTCGGTTCGGTCATCACGATAGGCAGGCCTGACCACCACGTCAAGGTAGAAGCTACGGTCGGGACTTAAACTTATCTGGATAACATAAAAATGACTCAAGCAACAATTGACCGAGTCAACATAGCTACATTAGGCTTTTATGATAGTGAAGCCCTACTCCCCACCACGTTAAGGTGGCCGATACAGTTTAGATGCCTTCCAAGACATCAGAATATTAAACACTAGAAAGAAGTATGTCAGTGAGATAAAATGGTCTATCGGTTTACCTTATCTTTCATAGATGGAGCCAATCTAAGGTGTTGTGACTTGTGAATCCATGAAACTTGTCCCTGAACAGAAATTAAAAATATCACTGTATCACAAAGTTTCAATCTATAAATAACACTGTACTAGCTCATGTTTAGTGTGGTCACTAAAGAACCTGCAAATTCACCTTCATTACCCCATAAGACTTTAACTGATATGTGTTTGCTTACAAAAAAGGTAAGCAAAAGGTAAGACAAACAGGGGACTTAGTAGGATTTTATTCAATCACTAATTTTATAATGAATGATTGATAAATTCTATTTTTGCTCGAATAACTTACGATTCTATAAGCCTCTGTTTCTGGATCAGGAACGCCGGCACTTTTCAACTGATTTACAAATTGTGTAGCAAACGGTGAATACAACAGAACATTCTGTTCCGATGGTAATGAAGAATCCTGAAAATATATACGAATTTGTTAGATCTCATTATGTTACAGAGAATTCTCAAATTTTTTAAAAATCTTTGATATTTTGGCACATTCTAAAACTATGACTTCAAGTACACTGTGTTAATATGGAAACCTGGAAATGTATCAACTCTGCAGAATGTTAATAGAGAGGTGAGCGAACAATTAGATTCGAAAGTAAATGACAAATGTATAACTCAAAATGAAATCAATTTATACCAATTTTACAGAAAGATGTTGAAATGCCATTTGTAACTGAAGTGTTGAAACGATTATTTAAAAATTCCTACGGTCTATTCATTGAATCTTTCAAATCAACACTATGAAGCACTTTCAGCTTCTAAGGCTGAACTAGTTGAAGAATTTGAGGAAAACTGTGTTATAGCAGTCGATATGATAGTAATCATAATGATAATAGTAAAAAATTAATTCCGTCAACTGAAAATCTTAAAACAGCTAATTACTCCCATCACTTAATATGGAGGGAGACCTAACACTATACTGTATATACGCGTTAGTACTTAGTATTTATTTAGATTATCACTGCATTTTCCAACAATAAAAACTTAATTGTTTATTTTCAAAGGAAATCTAATTTGATTGGTTGATAGGTGCGATAAAATATACACCGTAGTATTTATTATGTTGCAATCCGAAAAGATATCTTCTGGAACTCTTCACCTAGATCAACAGATATAATAAAATAATTTCCAACTGAATAACTTTATTTGTAAAGCTATCCACTGTCGAATAAGACTGATTCACTCAGACAGAAAACGTAATTCCCTGAATAAAATGTATTTACATTAGTTTGACGCCTTAGTCAAAAATATAAACACGTAGAATCGGATTATTGAACTTTATTCAGAAAATGACAAGCTAATATGCATCAAAATGGAAATTTCGCATGAGTTACAACCAAGCAACATACTCAAAGTTTAAAAGTAGAAGAGAGCTAAAAGTTGAGAAACAACTTCCATATGAATATCATATGACCCCAACATATTGAAGTGATATACCTCATGGGATTCTAATGCATGATGTCCTCTAAATGCATCAAATACTCTTAAAAGTATTCAAAATATTTTGAATACATGCAATTAAAATACACATACACAACTGACTGAATCCTCTAGTCTTCCAGTTACTTGTTCACGTAAATTATACCATAATTTTGCCCACTTTCTAAGTGTTTTAAAACGTGCCTGAAGAGAACGGGCCGAACGTCCAGGAAAATATAGAAGAAGATCGGTGAAAATTTCTGTAGAAATAGTTTAAAAAAAAATTACATTATCCATGGCATTTATTTTAACGAAAGAATGCAAGTACGATATTTTATTCCATATCATTATCTCAGCAATTTATACTTCAGAACTGAATTCTAAGTGGTTTTGATTGTGGGAATTTGTCACAAATCGATGCCAACTGGAATGTCATTTCAAGCAAGTTAGATAGCACAAAAACTATGCCTAGAGCTAGTTTGAAATTCATTTACAGTGCGCACTTACGATTTTACCCACTACTGAGCACAAGACTCTCAGATCTTTAAGCTAGCACAATACTTTTGAGCAGTGAATACCACAAAGTTTATTTGATGGTAGTTATAACAAAACTAGAATAAGCCCAGCATAGCACCATGAGTTTGATCACTTGCCCCGACCGTAGCTGCTACCTTGACGTGGTGGTCGGGCTTGCCTATCGTGATGACCCAACCGAGCTATACTGGCTGGAACACATGTTCCTCAAGGTTCTACCATGCCAGGCTGGTCGATTGGAGAACGATGAGACTAAAAGCAGCTACCCAAGGTCTGAGGGCGAAGTCGTACTGCTGACTGCAGAGGGGTGTGACAGCAGTAAGGTGTTTCCCTCGGACAACCAGCATCTGCAGCGATGCTGCCTTCTCACAAGGAAGGAAGGGTTAGAAAAGGTCGACCCTAAAAATGTCACACCTCCCCTAACTCACGGATTTCCGTCTCCCTGGGTAAGGGTGCCCACTAAGGGCCTTTAAGAACGGAGCTAATCCTCAAAAAACATTTGATAAAAGGGCCATGCGTGACTGGCCTCAAGCAGTTGTCCCTTGGGCTCTGCGGTCACGCAC